TGTGTGTGTGTGTGTGTGTGTGTGTGTGTGTGTGTGTGTGTATGTGTGTGTGTGTGTGTAGGGGGTACAAGACAGGGTTTCTCTGTGTAGCCCTAGCTGTCCTGGACCCTTTGTAGATCAGAATGGCCTTGAACTCAAGAGAATCGCCTGCCTCTGTCTCCCTAATGCTGAGATTAAAGGAATATGCCACCACGCCCAGCTCCTTTTCATTATTTTTAATGATTTATTTTTGTTTCATGTGCATTGGTGTTTTGCCTGCTAGTTAAGGATTTCTGATATCCTGGGAATGGAGCTACAGACAGTTGTGAGCTGCCATGTGGGTGCTGGTAATTGAATCCAGGTCCTCTGGAAGAACAGCTGGTGCTCTTAACCACTGAACCCTCTCTCCAGCCCCCTTTTTCATAATTTTTATTTTGAAAGGGTCTCATTAAGTTCCCTGGGCTGGTCTTGAACTTACAATCTTCATGCCTCAGTTTCCTTCCTACCTAGGACCGTCTGCCTTCATCAACCATGCCTGATGTCACCTGCCTATCTTCTGATGCCCTTAGCTTCTGTGTGTGGTTACACCTAGGAGTGGTTTAGGGAGAGAGAGCTGCAGAATACAGAATGGGCCAGTGATTGTAGGCAGCTGGTGAGGTGTGGGGCCGCTGGTTGGCGGCTACTCTGTGCTGGCTTTGGTTTTTGGGTTTCCACATGGAAGAGAACCAGGGAACACTAAGCTCAGAGGGGACGACTTCATCTGAATCCCCATGCTCAGGGCTCCTGCCTTTCCCTCAAAGGAGCCCTGTTCTCTAGACTAGCTAGACGGTAACTTTGGACCCTGTGTCTAGGAATCTTACGCTAACGTGAAACAGTGGCTGCAGGAGATCGATCGCTACGCCAGTGAGAACGTCAATAAGCTCCTGGTAGGCAACAAGAGTGACCTCACCACCAAGAAGGTTGTGGACAACACCACAGCCAAGGTGAGCGGGGCCAGCCTTGGCTGTCGGGCTTGGGGCTCCTTTCCCGTCACCCCTTCTCTCCTTGCTCTTATTTCTCTCATCTCCTTGGCAGGAATTTGCAGACTCTCTGGGTGTCCCCTTCCTGGAGACGAGTGCCAAGAATGCCACCAATGTCGAGCAAGCATTCATGACAATGGCTGCAGAGATCAAAAAGCGGATGGGGCCAGGAGCAGCTTCTGGGGGTGAACGGCCCAACCTCAAGATCGACAGCACCCCTGTGAAGCCAGCTAGTGGTGGCTGTTGCTAGGAGGGGCACTTGGGGAAGGGACACCTTCTCCAGATGATGCCCCTGGAGGGGGCAGGAAGTGCCTCCCTCTCCTAGGGCATTTGAGTCTGTGGCTTTGGGGTGTCCTGGGCTCCCCATCTTCCTCTGGCCCATCTGCCTTCTGCTCTGAGTCCTAGTCCTGTCAGGGCCCCATGGAGGACATGCGGGACCTGTGGCTGGGGTGCTCACAGGGACTGCTCTGCTGCTGCCTCTAGGTACCTGGAGAAGATGCCCACCACGCACCTTTTGGAATGAGGGCTCCGCTGTCTGTCACTCACCCCCATGTATGCTGCACTGGGTTTCTCTTTTCCTTCCTTCCTTCCTTCCTTCCTTCCCAAGAGCCGAGGGCCTCCCTGCCTCTGCTGCCCCTGGCTGTAGGCAGTGGCCAGGGGATCCAGGGCCTCAGATCCAGGGTCCTGCGTCGGACCTCAGGACAGGGGAGGGGGCTGTCAGGGCCCACCAGCCCACCTTTTCCTTCCCCTTGCCTCCCTCCACCGCTCCCACACTCAGCTTGAGCCGTCCAGCTGCTGCTGGGTCTTGAGCACAGCTAGGGCAGGTGGGCGGCTGGCTGGGCCGGGCCTGTGTCTCAAGCCCAGAGGGAGCCCGAGCTGCCTCCCTGCCCTGCCAGAGCCAGGCCCCTTTGTCCCTGAGAAAGGCGGAGGCGGGAGGCCCACCGTGCCAGAGGCCGGGCACCAGCCTTAACCCTCTCTCTGCCAGCTCCACTTCCTTCCTTGAGGCAGCACATCTGGCTTGTTCTCCCTCCATTCCTCAGCCTGAGGGGGCCAGACCCACTTCTCTGGGGGTGTGGGGGCCACTTGGGGTTGTGGGACTCTCTGCCCCTCCCCACTCAGAACCCAGGCCCCCACCCTCTGGCACAGCTTCCTGCAGAAAACCTCTGGTCTTTACCATGTCCTTTGTGCTGTCTTCTTGCCATTCTTCCCCTACACCCTCCCCTCCCTTCCAGTGTGTATTTAAATCCCTGGGCTGCCCCTCTGGGAGGGAGCCTCTTCTCCCACGTTCCCCTCTGGTGTCATGTCAGGCATTTTGCAAGGAAAAGCCACTTGGGGAAAGATGGAAAAGGATGAAAAAAATAAATTTCCACTGGCCCTTGGATAAGCCAAGGGTTTTTGCAAGGAAGCAGTGGTGACTGAGTAGTGTGGTCTGTGTCTCGGTCTGGCTCTGAGTTGCTGCATGGAACTGGAATCCAGAGTTTGGTGTGATGCACAGGGGTCCTGACTCGGACTGTGCCCCAAGTTTGCTGTTAAAAGCCCTTGACCCACATACTGGGGCTGGGAAAGCCTGCTGTGCTGTTGGGGGATGTCCCTAAGGGCCCAGCACGGATCTGTCGGAGGGAGGGAGGAGGTCATCGGGTGAGCCACCATCAATACCCACGGGGAGGGCTTGCAAGGCATGAAGTTGGGCAAGAGCTGGACCCAGGAGCGGGCATTGAGCCCCACAGATGTGCTGCATCCTGCTTGGTCTTCACCTTCCTCCAGTCCTTTTGAGTTAAGTCCCTCTTTTGCCTTCTGTTTGGCTTCAAGCCAGAATCCAGATACCCTGAACTAGGAACAAGTGCTTCACGTTGGGGCCTCACGTCTCCTCAGCCAGCACTGTGCACTGAATGTGGCTGTGGTGGGCTAGTTGTGTGAGTGTTGTGCCAGGAACGTGCGTCCAGGTCTCCGCGTTCTGAGGGTGCACAGTGGCGGTGCTGGGCCTCCTGGGCTGCCAGAGGCTGGCGGAGGGGCGCTCAGAGCCGCGGCCCCGCCCGAGGCCGCTGCACGGCGGCCCCGCCCCCG